TTTTTAGTGTGTGGCATGATAATATCTGATTAATAGATCAAATCGGGTCAATGCTACCCCAACTTCCATATACTATGAATTTGTCGGATACATAGAGGATATGTAAATATAAAATTGCTTAGATTGCGATCTTCTGGTTGACATTTTACCTCTTAAGTTGTTTATCTATTTAATTCTTGAAAGTTGCAAGAGTATAAAATATTCGCTTGCACCCGAACATAGCTCTTTCTTACTTGCTTTATCCTATTACACACATTTGTATATGTATAATCAGAGATATGGTAAGAAAAATAGACGATTTTTTATCATTTTGAATCACCTCACTACTGAATATTTATTTGAAAACTTTTTTTTAGAAGTTATGCGGCATGCAACTCAACCGAAGTAATAGTGTGGTGGATATAGAGCGCACATTAGGTTTTCCTTGGGAAAATTAAGAATAATGAGTCCCAAGGCAGGAAAAACTACAAGTAGACCACGAATTTGCGGTAGAAAACGTAAATGCGAAAACATTAGGGAACTGATAAAAAAATATTTAATAATGAGGAACTAATTAATTTTTTCGCTCTGAAAGGAAACTAAACCGAAATATAATTTTTTTACTCTACTTTGTTAGTCATTGCATTTATATTAGATTGGTATAGAGTTACATATATGTATAAATACACGATAATATGTTCGGTTATTTTTATAAAAAAAATTTAAGAATTTATCGCCTTATTTAAAACTGATTTTCCACGTCCGTATAATTCTACCATTTATGATGTTTACGTATGTAGGTATTAACCTTTGGGATTCTCGTCTTTTATACATAGTGCGTTATTATTGCTTCCTATTGTTAACAAGTTTTATTACGTTACATCGGGCGTGAACGATTTAAATACGAAATGAAATATAGGTACGCATTCCCGTTCGCTACAAATGAGATACATGAATTACAGCAATGCACACAGTAGTCCTTTACCTAAAAAAATTATTTCACCCCTCTTGCGGCAGTACATGCGAACTTCCTACTCACATATGAGGATACTGGTGGATATTGAAACTGATGTCATCTCATATACTTAAGTTTTCAGCTGCTTTCGTGGACTCATTATCACGATGTATGTTCCACCTTCACCACCACAATAGAACTATGTATGTTATATAATATTATACATAAAAATATACATGATACATTGCATTGAGTTGATTTAAGAATACCATAGAAAGCTAAGCCCATACATTGAGCTTGCGAACGAACCCAGCTTATATGGTTTCACATATACATACACAACACCTCGTTGARCAGACATCATGCGGGTACTAATCACGTATGTACATAGTATGTATGTTTACATGCACTCAAGTTTTTTATATTCGAAAAACAATAAATATTTTCATTAAATGTGAAAATTTTGAAATATTTACTCTCTCTTGGGAAGTAGGGGCGCATAATTTTGCCACCCTACTGGTATGCTTCGGGTCATTATTCTGCTGAAATATCCTTTTCAGCGGGATGTTCTCTGCAGCAAATGGTATCATAATATACTGCATTGACTCTACGAATTTGTGTCGGTCCATTATGCCAGTAATCTTGTGAATTGGGACTGCACAAAAAAATTGGGCCTGTACCACACCAAACCATGAAATTCAAACCGCCAAGCTTCATAGTTTTTGTGCTGAATCTGGGGTCGTACTCTCTATTAGGGGAGCTTCTTAGATACTTAAGGGACCCTTTACCGCCGTATAGAATAACTTTCGACACGTTTGGCAAATTTAAGACAACTTGCTATATGACTTTTTTTTCATGTAGAAGTCTTCTCACTGTATGAACAGCGTAGGCCAGGTTCAGTTCATTCCGAGTCTCCATAGTTGACATTCTAGGTCGAGTCTTGGCACATCTTACAACTATTGGTGTAAAATTCTCGGAAAGAATCCATATTGCGGCCCTTTTTTCGTCTTTTTTTTTTATAAATAATTGCATTGTGAGTCGTTGTGGCTCAGCACCCTGCACTTCTACTCCCTTTTAGGATTTACCATTCTTTATGACAGATTGAATACATTCTCGTTTTTCGTCACTGCAGTGCTTCCCGCGGCCCAAAAAAAGTGCAAAGTCGTATTTTTTTTTTTTGCTTTTTGCATTGAATAAGAATTAAAAGATCTGAAAACTTACTTTTTGTTTGATAAAATTAAATTTTTTTTAAATTATCTGTTTGCAATCACCTTATCGTTCACTACTATTCTATTGCTCGCTCATAAAAACAGGTATCCCAATAAAATTGGCTTTAAAAAAGTAACGGTAAGTAATTCACACTTACTGTTGTATATAACAGGACCATTATACTTCAGAGAATATAACTAAAGTAATGACCGACAGCAATATCATAAAAGAAACAAAATTTAAAGCAAAACTCTCTTGGCCAATAGGCACTACTATTTCAATGCTCGCAACTGTATATATTTAAATAATCTCTTTTTAAAGTTTCAGGTAGCCTTAAACACTTTGAACCTGTATCAACAGGAGAGTTGTAATTSCGATTAAATTTTTTAAGTTCAGTTTTCTTTTTATTTATTTTACTTATCGTTTTTTACGTATGCAATATTGCTTTTAGTAAAATTATTTATCTGAAAAAAATTCTCCACAAAATTCAAGCATTTGAAAACAATTGAATTTATATTGTTATTCCTCTTTATTTGATTTTGGTTGGTTTTCCCTTTTAAATAAAATATTTCGAATTTTTTTTTTTTTTTTCATTATTTCGTGTATCTATAATTCGGCGACTTGACATATAAATTGGTATTTGCTTTCTATTTGGCAAATATGATTTCTGATAAAATGCGCGCTCAAATGTATCGCGATCATCGCCAGCGATTACGATATGTTCGATGTCGTGTTAATAGCGGTTCAGTTCGTTTGCCATCGCGTATAAGTGCAAATTGTGTCAACTCAGATTCGTTCCGTTCGTTGAAAAACAGAAATATGTGTAGGTCACAATCTAATATAATTTTTTTACACGGACAAAAGCTCCCACAATTTGAGAAAAGAAACATCCAACAGCATGATCATCGTCTGTCCACCAAATCAATCATAGATGAGCGTAGAAGTATTATAAAGTCGAAATCTTTGGCAACAAACGAAAAGCTGAATAATCAACGTTGCAGTCCAATGACCTATCCATCGATTGCTCTAAGCAAGTATCCAATTTTGAATTTACCGGAAACTGGCATTCAGCTTCAACGTCTCTTGCGCCCCGTAATTTTTATAGATCTAGAGCTAAAAGCTCTTCGACCAGTGGGACGTGTACTTATTCAATTATATACGGAAGCATCGCCTCAAGTTGTATTGGAGTTCATCCGCATAGCTAGAAACAATAGCGCAGATAGCCTTTTCATCACTCGTGTTTTTCCATCTCTATGGTTGGAAGGAGAGTTAAGGTTACCGCCAGATTCTCATACACACAGAAAACATGAATTCGATACACGAAGTTTAAATCACACAAACCATGGCGGTATTGTTTCTTATTCGCGTGAAAATATAAGTGGTATCGAAAGCGACCGACTGAGCTTTGCAATCTCCTTTCGACCATTGCCTGCAGCTAATAGCAAACGCATCGCTTTTGGACGAATTGTAGGTGGCTTAAAATATCTCTACGAACTTCAAGACTATGGCACAAAGAATGGAAAGCCGGCAAGAAAAGTTTTCATTAACAAGTGTGGATTATTCTCAAAGACTTTGCCCTCGCGGAGATATTGAAATTACACATGAAGTTATGAGCAAGATCTCATTTTCTAATCCGTAAAAGGTTATCAAAAATTAAGTATATATGTACATGCATGTGTATGTAGGTTATAAGAAAAATTATGTGACTGATCAAGCCATTTAGTTTGAAAGTGGAAAGTTAAATTCGAATTTATGAATTCACTTTTAGAATAAACGGCTTTTGCAAGTTCTATTGAGTTTGATTTCGATAAACAATCTTACAATAAAATACGACTTACATATGGTATTAATTTTTATATCATAACGTAGTTTAAAAATTTTAATTTTTTATTTATTAATAAATACACAAATATATAGATTTTAAAGAAAAAAAAAATTATTCTTTATTAAGCTTCATAAAATATATCTTTTTTAATATTACTTACTGGTTTATACATGTATTTTTAAAAAAAACTCAATATATTAAAACGAAAATAAGACTTTCTTGAGGTTATTAAAATAACGTGTGATCCAAATAGAAACACTTATTTCAATGACCTTTTTTAACAGATAACATACAATGAACATATTTTCCTGACATAATTAAATTATTTCAGTAATATAGCATGATATTAAAATAACTGTAATGAAATCTAAAATTAAAAGGAAAATTAAAGTTAGCTGCCAGTTGGCTATATAAGTAAAGCAGGCAGCGTGCCTGGCCAGTGCTTAGGTGGCTCTCGCGCCGAGATGATATGTGATTTGAAAGTCGCGCAGTAAATTCGTGGGAAGCTAGCTGCCAGTTGGTTATATAAGTGAAGCAGGCAGCGTGTCTGGCCAGTGCTTAGGTGACTCTCGCGCCGCGATATTATATGAATTGAAAGTCG